GAGAGAGAGAAAGAGAGAGAGAGAAAAAGAGAGAGGGGAAAAAAAACTATGAAACGTTGCTAATTAACGACAAGCAATGATCATCGTTCGATATGCTAAAGCTTTTCTTGAAAATAACAATTAAGAAATTTGTAATTTTTTAATCCACCGCTACAAAGATGAGAAATTAATTGTTCTACTTATGCTATATATGTCACACATCTTCTGATCATATGTTTAATTAAAATTGAGACAATTAAAACAGAATAAAATTCTTTGTTGAAGTTAATTTTAGTCGAAAGATAATAAATAAGCACAATGTGATAGAGGTAAAAATCGAGGAAATCAATCAAATAATTAACAAATTCCAAAAATAGTCATTGCTACGAAGGCGCATCCATTTCGGAAGCTTCTGGAGAAACATTTCTGATTTATTCTCTCACTCTAACCTTCTCAAATCTAGCTAGCACTCATACCCTGATCGATACCTTCCACCGCGTCCTGCCACAAACTATCATGTACTCTCGAAATCTCTGTACACCTTTCCTTCATTTCTAAAAGATGACACTTCACCAGCTGTCATGGGATTTCACATTCTTGTTGCTCTAATTAAACTTTGGCAGCAAAACATTGGAAGGAGAAATTGAATTAGTTCGCATGGTTTGTCAAATTGTCACCATACGAGAAATTTAATCAAATCGCTTTGGAAATCTTTTCCAGAAAAGGATGCTCATAATTTTGATCTTTGTCAGGGATTACTTCCTTCATTTCGTCTGCGATTTTTACTTCCATATCTTTGATTAACCTAGTATCATTGTCAGTTTTTAACGTGTGGATTGCGTGTGAACTGCGCACCAACGATCAAAGATTCAAGAGAAAGTCTAGTAGTTTCAGTTCAGTTTAGCTATTTGAATCTAAACCAATACATACCTTTAAGGATGATGATGGTATGGGACATCAGAATCACATATGTTAGCGTATAGTGATTCATAAGTTGTGTGTCGTATGTCAAGTGGAAATTTTAGTTAAGAAATATTCCAATCTTTACATTTCTTTCGAAATTTGAACTGCTTTTGACGAGTGCTAAAAATTTTTTGTTTGCAAAGCTCACTCGATAGATAGTGTTGTAGTTTGTAAGGAAGTGAAAATTCTTTGACTATCCGCGGGATCGGCATGTACTTTGTGGAGCGACGGTGATGACAATGAATGAAAGCCACTAGTTTATTGACCGTCGATGACGCAACAAGCTTTTAACTTAGCTAACAGAAATGTAAGTATGTGTATGTGTTTACTCATTTAGATAGCTAGGAAGGGAGAATTTGGAAAATTCCATTTGAATGAGGAGTAAGGGATGAATAACGACAGCTGAAGGAGGGAAGGGAAACTATGCTTACATAAGCCCAAGTGGGTGACAATGATCTGTGTGCCAAGTACGACAGGCAGCAACACGCTCAGAGTCCAAGGTCTCCAATGACCGAGCCCTTATACTATGCCATAATCATTGATGAGGGCAAGATGCTGCGAGTAATTTTGCTAGAGTTGTGCGAAATTTTGTGCAAATTTCAGAGGAATTCAAGAGAACAGAATTAGAAACTTTAAGGATAGCGACTAGACTGAAAGGGAGAAATGTCCACAATGGACAGTCGAGCTTCACAGAGCCACAGCTAACGGACATTCAATGGCTTGTGTGTGTGTGTCTGTGTGTGTGCGTGTGTGTGTTTGTTTGTGTGTTTGTGCTTGCGCGTGTGTATATGTGGCCAGTGAAATATTTGTACAGCTATGAGATGAAAGCAAAAAGAATGCAAAGTGGAGAGGGAAGCTAGGACAGCTTCGATGGTGCAACCAGCTAACCAGGAAGTGAAATTCCCCATTTTCCAATAAATAATGCAAGGATGAAGGGGAGGGAAGAGAAAAGGGACCGCTAACCCGAAATTACTTGACAACAAATAAACTGTCCCACGAGCAGCAAAAAATTGACAATACTAAAGCTTTTTTCAGGACCAATTCCACCGAACATTTTGGAATGAGGTAAACAAGACAGTCATGGTTCGATCGAAATTGCATTTCACTTTTATATTATCGCCGGCAAACCTCTTCATTTCCAATAAAGATTCCGATAGAATCCTTTGTTTGTACAAATTTGAAAAATAAGCGTAGCACAACTTTCGGTAATTCAGTCAGTAGTGGATTAGACAGAGCTATCTTAAGATTATTCTCGCAGATGCTGCTAATGTCACTGCGCACCGCCACTAGGAACGCACTGCACTAATCTAGAAGGAACATCTATCTTTTCAATATCACATTTTGAAACACGATGACATATGGTATAAACGAGGCGTGATATACTGTCATAGCAAATCTTTGCAGTACTCCATACGACATTTCAAAACAAATTCTCCAAGTAAACAACGAATTCTTCACGTAAATGTACTTTTAAACAGCTTCGAAACCGCAAACTATTCACTTGCGATTAATAGATTAGACTGCAAATCAGCTAGGATTAATGGATTCAAACTACCATAAATATTTTATTTTGGAATAAAGTTATATTAAAGCCAAAACAAAATGTTTTTTTCTTCAACAAAGTGAGAGATATCAACAAAAAGTAATGTATTGTAAAAAAAAAATACATCGAGAGCGAGATCCTCCGCCACCTCGACCTTTCTTTTGCTTCCCCACTTTCATGCTGTTTCCGCGTGTTTTTTTCATTTTTTTCACCTTATTTTGGAAATGCTGCTGTCGATGAATAGCCGATTTCGACCGTTTCGGCCCCTTACTTTGGCTTTTGTCCACATTTCTTAAACACATTCAATTCAAATGAATAAAAATTTCGGACCATGTAAAAAACGTTATTTCTGGGATAACGACCAATAGTTTAGTCAGCAGGTAAATTATATAAAATATTTACAGGACTGATATCATAAGCCATTTCAGTGAATCCCAAGTAAGGTTATGTAGCAGTACTGTCCAAGTAGACGATTTACACTACGCTGAATGACCGAAGATCATAGTAATCAAAATCCTCGAAATCCCAAGACTTATCATTTTTGGATTTTCAATCTCTCGTAAAAATGTTTAAATCACTACTAACTGTTGTTGATTACTCTGCTGACTTGCTGCCAAACGCGCTTCGTTTAAAACACTATTTTTGGAAGACAACTTATCCAGGATTTGCAACTGCTTTTCTTTCTCGTCAGAAATATTTGCCTCGTTGGGTTTATACTGCAAAATAATTTTTAACAGATAATTCATGCACTGCAGTTTTTCAAATAAGAAAAGTAGCCTATTGCATCGAAAATCTTTCTTTTTTGTAAAATGTGATTAAAGTTCATTTCATTTTTTTAATATTTGAAAACATAAAATCGCGCCAAAAAAGATTAAAAGCCACCTTATGATGTTTACCCGTCTTCAGCAATTTCTTTTCATTCTTAATTGACGGTTGAAATGCACCATGAGATGCAGTAGAATACCGAGCTCGATTTATCTGGTTTACTAACTGCAAAGAAGGGAGAAAAGTATATTGCCTGAGCAGTTTTCTTTTTCTTTTTTTTTTAAATCTACAACAAGCACGACAATACCTCTAGCAAAGTAAAATGTTTGATAAAGGATGATATAATTCAAAATATTCCATGGATTGGTCTCATATTTGTAACTAATTAGTAATTAATTATATCAGGCTGAATCCATTTAGTCCTTTGTTGTTTCCAGAAAGGACTCCGCGAATACCAAATTTAAACACCCCACTCTATTGGAGGCTTGCCATGGTTTCCTCGTGATCATAACAGAAAGGAATGTTGGAAACTGGTATGCAAGAAGCCATTTTAAACATACATATTGGAATGTTTTTTTGAACTTGGCACATGAATTTGGATAACGCAAACAATCAGAGAAATCGAACCTCATGTCTACTCCGATTATTTAAATCAACGGCAATACCAAGAGGAGTTGCATTTGCCGATGAAATTCCTTTTAAACGAGCGATGTTGCGCAAACGTTGCATCTCATTTTTATTTACTTTTTCTCTCTTGGCATTTCGTCGTTCATCGAAATAATCAACCATGGGATCTAAAAAACAAACTTTTTTTTCAAAATCATGGAAACAACGACCAAAGACATTATGGAATGTAAAATTTGCATAATTCCGACCCAAATTCAAATTAGTTTCGTTCGCCAATTCAAGGTAATATGAGATTGAAAATTCGCATTTTGGAGGTTTCCACAAGATATGACTTCTTTGGTGTTTCAATGTCAACACATCTCATTCTATCACCAAAGTGAACACAATCCCTTTCATTTACAATCATAACTATAATAGCTAAAAGTCAATTATCACTTCTTAGGACTGTGTAAGTTGAGTCATTTTCAAAAAAAAAAAATCATATTGCCTTTGTTGTCTGGTATTTCGATTAGCCATTCTTTAGCATTATTATCTTTGACGCTTTTATATCCATATCTCGCTTTCCATTCCTTAAAAAATAAAACCTTAGCTATCCGCAATCACTGAGGAATAAGATAACTCTATTAAGATGCGATAACGAGGAGTATTGTCCTACTTTATTTCGATCGCTGTTTGGAAAATTTTCATACTGTTCGAAATCACATCACTTACAAAAAAACATCCTGAATAATTAAGCTCCAACCTGGGTTTGTTCATCGAAAACTTTTCGATCTTTTTTTCTCTTCCGTATTCCCTTCTGCTGTGCATACTGTTCCCATTTCGTTAGCTGACGTTCAGAAGGCAACGGTTTTTCTCGAGGGAGTCGGAATAATGGCCCTGGTAACTGAAGAGTAGAAATTAAATATAACAGGAAACTTGCAAAATATCTCCAAGAATCAGTAGTGAGTTTGTGATGCACCAATAAAATTAACGAATAAGGACCGAAATGCGTAAAATTCTGGTCAGTGAAAGATTTACAGGAAAGTGGTACAAATAAAAGCAAACCTTTGCACAAATAGCTTCATCAATCCGTTTTCTTTCTAACTCCCATATTTTGTTAAACAAAAATTGCGCATTATCTCGTACTCTTGCTGATAGCTCTTCTTCACTTGGCTTCCTATAAGAATTAAATTATGTAAGCGCAGTTCACATGGGCAAAAATAACTATATGGTCACATAGTTTAAAATGTTGTTAACAATGGTCAAGTACAAACTTGACCGAAAAATTCAAGGAAAGAAGCGGTAGGTTGAAATAACGAGAGGAAAGCTCACTTTTTTGAATCCTCATCTATTAAGGGATCATTATCAACGATAAGCAAGTTACCCGCATCAACAAATGGATCTACAATTTTATCCACTTCCGTTGGCAATAATATAAATCCACTTTCCCCCATTCTGAAAAAAAAAAAATCACAATCAATAGTGACATAGTAATGGAGTGAGCAAAAGTAAGCAACTTTAAAGTGCTAAAAAGTAGGTAGTAATGAGTCATAACAAATAATACCAAATTACCAATGCAAACTCAACCCCAAAACTTTTGCTTTTTAAACATGAATCCAGGTTGCAAAAATCATCAAATGAAAACTTATGGTACTGTTAAATAAGCTGAAACTGCATGGGAAAGTTGACAGAATCAGGAGAAAAAAAACACAATAATGGAATTTATATTTTACATTAATGAAAAACAATGCAAAAGAAAACCATGTGCAAAAATGTAGAAATACATCGGATGCATGAAACAGAGGAATTATGAAAAGATGCTTGACAGATAGTAGCATATATGATGTCGAATTCTTTTTCATCACAGGCTATGCCACTGCATGAGTTGTACAATAAAATAGAGTTTATCGATATGAAAGTTGCAACTATACTATTATAAAGACAAATATACATTTCCGTACAATGAATATATGTTAAACAAATTTGTTAAAAAACCAGGGAAATCATATATCACGGATACTCGTCACTTTTGGTCAGTACCTAAATGTCATAATAAGGATAAAGAATCACTAAAAGAAACTAATATTATAGATGATCCATAATTAATGCACAAGAGAAACATTTTCAACATCAAATGATGTTGAACTTTATGTAACAGCAGCATATTTCATATCGCCTCCACAAATAACTTTCATTATCAGCAAAAAGTACAGGAAAATTCTTAATTAAATAAGAAATATGCAGAAAATATCGGGAATTCATTCTTCATAAATAACATCTTCACGATTTTCATATTCAAGGAAAGCATCCAGATCAGTTAACAAACCCACCACCGTACCACCTTTGCCCGATGAAATCAGTTCTTTTAATGTTATCCTGAAAATGGTAAAGCATGTCAGAACTGCATCTTACGTAAATTATGAGTTGAATAAATCACCTGAATAAATCAGGTTTTGCTAAATCACTGAGCAAGTCAGAAAAAAACTTTCTACCCCCACCCCTTAGGGTTTTTTGGATGGCACATATCGAATATCTCGTTCTTAATATCGTCGAATAAAGGCGCTTTCTGCGAACTACCATCTGAGAAGCAATCTTCTAGCATTTTTGCAAGATCACGATAGAAGAAGTTCAGATCCGAAGCACTTAATAAATTGTCACCATCAACGTCTAGCACTCGGAAGTAATAACTCAGCGCGGAACGGTCCTAAATTTTTCAAATCGAGAAAATAATAAGTTGAGCATGAGAAAGGAATACATTAAAATAAAACAACAAAAATAGTAGATGTCTTTAAACTGGTAATATTACAAAAATGCATAAATGGAATGCTGAAAATTGACAGAAAAATTTAAGTAAGTGAGAAACTTACTGATTTATGCTCTATTGCAAATAGAAGGTCACAAAATCCTCTCAAGTCAAGTTCATCATTATCATAAGTTTGCTGAACTTCAAAAACTCTGAAAAATTGCGTGAATTTTATTCCAAAAGATCAGGAACTTTGAAGTTAAATTCCAAAAGACGCGGGGAAGAAAAGTCAATAGAGTATGAATATAAACAAAGCTGAATAACCTCTGCATAAAAGAGTTCGTGATGCGCTGAAAATCAGTCATTTCTGAAAAACTCAGTAATCCATTGCCATCCGTATCAAGCTGTTCGTATATATTTTTTATTCTCAAACAGTTTCGTTTCGAAAACCTGTGATTTAAAGAAACTCGAATAGCGCATATTGTATAAAAAGCGCATTTATATTCCTATGTAACAGGTTTCGATACTCCAGAACTCGTTAATATAAATGGCTTAAGAAATATCATTTTTGATTTATCGACAAATTTCTATCTAATCATACTCATTGGACCTGATTTGCTACCATGCTTCCATTTTTGAAAACATACAATGGTGTAACTAACTACCGAATTCAACATTATGCATTATCCGAAATTATATTTTTTCAAAAGTTTCAAACATATGAACCATAAGTTGATGCGACATATGCAAGCTAAAATGGAAACAAACCAGTTCAATGTACCGGTAGTTTGAGATGTCCCTTGTTCCATTTCTACGGACTCATCATCACCAGCATTACCATTCGATGACTCATTTAAAGTCTCAAATTCTTCCAGTAAGCGACTAGCTACAATGTCAACAATGCGAACTTTTTTTTGTTGCATCGTATCGAGCAAAAAGAAAATTTTTCGTGTAGCCATACATAGATAATAATCCTGTAGCATTGGCTCTTCTTCCTGAACAAAAAATGAGAAATTATGCTTTTAATTTAACGCATGAATTAAATAAGATTACAGACAAGTCTCTAAAAAAGAGCTTAACCAAAAGTTGAAAACATGAACTCTTCCACTGACACATACTCATGCGCGAAATATATTGCACCACAATTGCGAAGCTGGACATGGCTTAATTACGCATGAACTATGGGTTTAATTAGATATTACTTTTTACCGAGGGCAGTTGCACCTTTTACCTCTGACTATAGTGGCAGTCTCAACACCTTGTGGTGATAAGTTTCAAAAAGAAAAAGAAATAATTTAAGTAACAATTCAAATATAATATACTTGAATTTCAACGAAACTGCTTACAATATAACTTACATTCAAATTTGCAAGAGAAGGTATAAGAGGTAGCACTTCTGCTTCTAAAAAATCTCGTAAGTCCTGAAAAAATAACTTGAAAAAAAAAAAATTTCAAATAAGTATAAACTGCGGTGTTGCATCTGCAAGAGAACGAAGCGTACTTTTTTTCTAAATACTTTAAAAGGTATTTATTTTAATCAGTAAAGAAAAGAAATGATCACCTCTATCGACAGATAGCCTTTGCTCGCAGAATCGTAATAGTGTAAATGGATCAATTTGCTTAATTTGTCTTTTTTAGTTAACAAATAATCGATAATGGAATCAACAGCTATACGTCCTTCATCTTTGGTGTTGCTAATTTGAAGCAAATTCATAAAAATTTCAGCAGATAAAAAATCTTGCAAAGCTTTCGGAGCGAGATTTATCACTTGCTGAAAAGAATATATTTAAAAAAAAATCACCTAGAAAAAATGCATGACGCATACCTCAAACATTTATTTTATAAACATAAAATGGTAAGGTAGCTTGTTTTAAACTCCCAGTATGAGTGTTTAATAAACTGCAATAAAAAGAAACTGGAAAACATTTATAATCACAAACTTTGTAACTGTTGTAATCAACAAGTTTGTCATCCTCACTTCTTGAGTAGGTTGCTTTGTTTTGTAGATTGATACAAAACAGCTAAAATAGATTTCTTAATTTGGAAGGAAATCCAATAAAAACGAGTGGGCATGCAATTCTATATGGAAAAAAACGAAAAAATCTTACCAATAATAGACAGAAAGCCAACAACTGAAAATGCCTGCAGAAAATAATTTTTGGGAAAGAATTATAGCATAATATACCTCAATGTCTTCATCGCTTGGTAGTGATTCTAGTTTGTGTTTCCACATGCGACGACGAGCTTCCAGACGCAACTTTGATCGCAAATTTTGTTCACTCAGTGAATTAACATATTCTTTTGTTTCAAATATCAATAATTTGCCCTAAAATTATACAGAGTAGTAAAAAAGCCACAATTCCAAATAATCTCTTACTTTTTGACGAAAACTGCCTAAGATGTATGCTACATAAACGTTAATGAAGTTCGGAAAGTAAATCAATAACCTTTTCAGATTTCAAACAGTTGATCTCTTTCGGCTGCAAGTCTAAACGTTTAGCCAAACTCATTACATCAGCTGACATTGCGTCACTGATTCCGCTAATCTTGATCTGCAACTTTAAGCCCAATAACACAATTCTACTAATGCTTACGTTTACTGATAAGTTCTACTTAAAGAGGAGTTAAATCATAAACAGTAAATACAGTGAAGGTTAACAATCAATATGACAGAATGGCTATGGACACGAAATATTGAAAACCATCAGTTTTTATACGGTAGTCAAGAAACTAACTACCAAAATCACTCAATTAACAAAAACTGACCACCAAAATTAATCACCAGTGTGCTGTACTCAGCCTTACTCAAATAATGAAATGTTTACATATAATAAGCATTTAAATCAGGATTTAAAGTCCAATAATTTTGGTGTTAAATAATCATACGATGTAGGAAACGTCATGAGTAAAATACCAGTACTAGAATACCAATACTTTATTACAAATAAAATCTGTTATTTGAAATATTTACAAGATCGGCTTTTATTTTACCTGATGAAAAGAGAGGACTCTCAAATGAATTTATATTAAAATGTTGCTCGTGAAAATGAAGTGGACAAAATGAAGCAGCAATAAGCCGAGAAATTAACAGGAGAATGAAGTGGGGAAGTCACATGACTAACAAATTTCATCAGCATTAACACTTTGTTAGAATGTCCAATGACAGCATAATTTAGATGGTCAATCTTTCCTGTGGAATTTATATGATTTCTTCACATAATATGAAACATATGAAGATTTTTTCAAAATTCTCTTTTTTCTGGATTTAGTTTAGAAAAAAAGAGAACTGCTAAATGTTAGATCTCGAAAGACAAATACAAGCTGGCATTTGAGCTTTCACCTAGCATTTCTATGCTGGAGAAAGAATTACATTTATGATAAAGCGACTTTTGAATAAAATTGAAATGCTGTGATTCTAAGTAAACTAGACAACTAGACAAAGTGTAGAACAAAATAGAAGTCATACAACTCATGCTAACGTAAACCATACAATCATGCATCCACTTCATCGGTTTTTATAAACTTGCCACCTTCTGGTAGCACACTGTTGTCTGCACTCATTCTGAAAAAGCTCAGCAACTATAACAAATATTTTAAAAAAAGAAAACTGAAAATAAATTTAGTACAAGACTGAAATAATGAAGAAGCACTAATTGACTACTTCAGCCAAAATAGATGTACTTAATCTTATTTTATATTTGCTTGCGATCTAAGCGACAATAATTAACTGGTGTTTAAGTGACAAATAAATATAATGCACTATTTACAATGGCAAACACTAACCTGGGTAATATTTCTTCCTTCACTTCTTTTATGTGCTGTTTTTTGTTTGGTGACTCAAACATTGGAAGATTAGTTTTCAAATAAACCAATGATTCACTGCAAATGCATATTACATTTAACAGTAAATGTTGGTAATAGAAGGCAATTGATATTTCCATGAGGTATATATTTAGCTGTTCATTTATTATTAGATCTTCAGGGTCAAGTATATGATGCTTCAACATTAGACCTCACTATCATCAAAACCTCCTTTCTTTATTATATATTTCATCTATTCTTTTGCAGTTGTAAGAATCATAATGATTGATCTACATCTTATCGAAATCCAACACCAACTTTGCACGCTTCAGCAACAAAGCATTTGGCTCGAGCAAATCACCCAGCAATTTATCCTCGAAAGCAGGCAATGGAGCATTCGGATGTAGTGCACGATACTTTATGGCTTTGCAAACATTTTGTAACTTTGGATTGGGCACATCACGCGGACGTAGAGATTCCTCAAACTGTCCTGTTTGCGAGTTACTAAATTTCATTAATATAATTGACTAATTAAACTAGTCATACAAGACAGAATCTCCCACATCTTTCATGTTTCTTTTAAAACTCATTTTACATCCAAGTCGTGATTTTGGAAACGATTTCTCACTTCTACTCCACCAAAAAAAAAATTTTCTCTAAAACCAAACTTACAAATGAGCCTTTGTGAGATCCATTGCTTGAACAAATGAATGCATTGCGCTAAGATGATCATCTGAAAGCGAACACTCATATAAACATGTTTCATGCTTGCAAGTAATTTATGTTTCGATATGTTTGGAAAATTTAAATTCTCTATTCAATAGTTACATTCAAAATAGAATGAAAGTCACATTTTAAAGTGTTTGTTTCATGTTGTCTTCTATTGCAGTATATAAATCACATTGGAAAAACAATTTACAAAAACTATATGCTAATCTATCTCAATGATAAAACATAATTTATCCAATTTCGAAACATTTCTCTTTTAAAACTAATACGTAAAAATTTCTGAAATATGGAAATTTTTTATACAGAAATATGACACGTTGTTCCCCACAAATACGATAACTAATATGAGCAGATGACCATTTTTTCCCGTAAACATTAATGAAGTGAGCATATCAACAGGAAAAAGTACAGTCATAGGAAAAAAAATACAACATACTTTTTGGTTCAGTTGCGGGACTATTCAGTGGTGGAAAATTGAGTCCACGAAAATCTTCATAAAATGGTAATTGAATACCGACAAACATCTAAAAAGAAATCAGTGCATGTCGTAAAGTAAAACAGAGAGGAAATCCCAATGAGTTCAGTTCCTAGACACAAAAGACAAAACAACAGTTCGGACCAATCAGCTATGTAAGCAATGATCCATTATCTTCATTATCATCAAGAAAATTAATATTGTTTACATCGACTCCTTTCTTACTCCTTCTTGGAAATAGTCCCATAATTCGAGGCTGTGACGCAGCATTATAAACATATCGAGTTAGAGCAACACTATCTTCAGCGATCATCGCATTCACAAGCGCTGATATAGCAACACATGCATTCTAAAATGTTGGGTTGAATTTATAAGGAGGAAAGCAAAAATTCCCAAACCAAAGCTAAAACCACGAATGATCACCTTATCAAGAGCTGGTGGAATGAAGTAACAGGCACCACCATCCATCAAATAATGCTCCAATATCTGAAGTTAAACTATTTAACTGAACATTAGTTACATTAAAAAGTATAGACGAAAATACAATTCCTTTCATTCTTGCATTTCATTACAAGTACAACATGAAAATTCCTTTACAAAATTCACAACAAATATCACATCATCTGAAGGAAGTGACACGAGATATGTAAAGCACGTCAAGATATATGTACTAGATGCTTCAGATAAGCAAGGAAATATTCCGCGAACACCAGTTGATAGTGCTCTGAACAGAATAAGTCAGTTATGATGAGTTTTTTCATAACAAACTAAAGTTATCACAAGACAAAATGGCTTTAAAAAAAGTTCAACTCATGAAGATTTCCTTGTTTCCATCCATATTCTTTTTGACTAACAGTCATGAAGAGTGCCCCTTTCATTTACCTGAGATCTTTTCGTAAATTGTATGAGCTTCAAACAACGATTTTCGTGTTTCCATCCATATTCTTTTTGATCTTCCGCGTTATAAGGAACAATTGTTGTCCCAAACTTATATCCTATAACCAGAAAAACAGTCGTCCCAACAGTTGTTTAAAACTATTGCAAAAGCTTCATTGTAAGAAAAACTCAATGACTTAAGTTTCAGCCAACATGCCCTCACTAAACTGATGCAAATGACTTACGACAAAATGTTTTGCATATAAAGAAAACTAGCCGCTAGTACATGATTATGCAACAAGTATGAAACCTTCGAGAATGAAATCCTTAGCAATCTTAGGAGTGAGGAAAGATTCTCAAAAATATAACATGAAATGGATGTAATTGCGAATTCCCACAATACATAGAGATTCCCTCATATACAAAAACTATTACAAAATAATAACCTTTCACAATTTCTTTTGCAAATATTTTAGAACTTCCCTGAGATGCGCAATCACTGCGGCCAACATCGACATCCATTGCGGTTAGACCATCGTCAACTTCGCCATCTTTTACACATTTCTCATATAATGTTTTGCGTTTCAACTATAAAAAAAAGAAAAAAAACAGTGGCACCCACTCTGCTACCACAACAGAAACAATTTAAATTTTGAGATACATAAAAAAATTACCCGGGTACCGGTTATTGATGCATACTTCTCTGCAGCAAGTTTGAAATCAGTTGTTTGAATCTTTTTGTACATTTGTAAAGGCAATTTCAAATCGATTCCCAATTCCAGATTGAATTTTTGACCGCGTAAGTTTACCTTTCGAGACACAAAATGTTGGAGCACTGGCAAAGCTTCACTAAATCAGTCATAAATGACAAGAAATTTTACAAAAAAAGTGGAGTATAAGGGAGCAGCATGCAGTCTTTTTTTTCTTTTAAATTTATAACCCATTATCAATAGAGATTAGTACTGACGCAAAAGAATAAATGACACCATCCGTCTGTTTTAAGATATCTGTCAGTACACGTTCCGCTGGTTCGATTTTGAACGATCGCATTGCATTAGACAGTTTTTCTTCTGGTTGTATAGTTGATTCTTCATTTGAAATGATTTTGTCCTCATCTTCGCTCACCATTCCAATTGATGGACCTCTAGAATTAATTTTGGATTATATGCTTGAAATGAAGTATGTAATATTCAATTTTTAAGCTCTGTTTTTTAAATCTGAAGTTCAAAAATCTGATGGAAGCCTTACATAACATTAAAATTGATTTCAAGTGCTTTCATGCCATTTATAACGGCTCCTATACATTCTTCATCCACATTTTCATTAAAACCACCCAGATTTGTTACCAAAAGAATATTTCGTGCAGTGATATTGCTTTTCGGCCAGCTTTCCAGATGATTTCTCATATAATCTAGCGCCGCAATTAGCGCAGCCAAGACTGAAAAATGGATGAGGAAAAAGTTGTAAAATATCATACAGCACATTTATACTTACTAAAAGTAAAGGAAACGATAAATGAAGCGCAGTGTAAGACAGCAAGAAATGGCCTAAAATTTCTACAGAACCCTCCTCAACCGTATTCCTGGTGAAAATGATAAAATAGTGACTCTGATTAAAGATACTACATATTACAAAGCTTGGAATTATCAATCAAAAACTGATTTGGATCATCGATATCTTCGCAATAACATAATATACAAACTTACAGTCACCATTGGTTGATTTACTCGGTTTGATTTCTTTATCAATAAGCCGCAACCAATCAATTTTAGCTTGTTGCATCTCTTCCTCACAAAAAAAGATATTTTCATCAACTGTAACTGGATTCTGTGTTAGTTCTGAGCCAAAAAGCACCAGCGTAAATTCATCAGCTGATTCGGTGAAAATCTTCAAAACACAGACAATTTTTCTGGAATTACAGAAACACAAAAATAAAAAAGGGACTAAGGTATTATGTGGAACATATATCATTCCGCTTTTCTTCTTTCTTCTTTTGTCCTATTAGAAACAGAAACTACAAGCGAACTCAAAATCTAAGATTCAACACAAATCTATTGAATTCGACTTCCAAATTTCTATCATATTTGGTTGATCAAATACATAAATTTTTTCTATTAATGCCATGCCAATGTCGAACGTAAGTGCAAAAATGAAAACTGAATGTAATCAAAAATTACATCAATGCCGAATAAGACACACCTCGAACGACACACCTATTAACGGAGCTTAACGTAGCTCAACCTTATAGGAAATTACCATAAATAGAATCAAAAAACAGCCCTGCAGAGTAAATAATGTATCAAATAATATAACAGAAAATAATGTGCAGAAATATCTACCAATCCCATTATTTCACTCTTACTAGGATTTAGCACAACACACCTTTCTTGTTATGATCCATTCCACGGTATCCTTTGCTAATTGCATATCTGTAGTAGCAATTCCTTTTCTATTCATATTTGCTCCAACATCAATCAAAATTACTGTACATTCATGTGACAGAGCTTTTTTTGCCCGTTTTCTTGGACGGTCATCATCCGACATTATTCTGAAGGTTCCGATTCAAATTGAATTGTCCGAAAAACATCTTCATTAATAGAACTAAGTCTAAGTTTTGTTCTGGATCAAAAAAAAAACCTTTTATATTCAAAAAACCAATGTCCTCGATATCAGGAAAATGCATTCAAGCTCTTTTCCGCTTGAAACAGAATATAAAGGAATCTGTTAGGAATATATTACAAAGAAATAATATTAGCCATATAGAAAACTGCAAAAGTGGGTACAGTGAAATAAAGTAAGCAAGCTTTTACTAATCGATAGAAATACAAGTATTGTGATCCCATGAATATCATAAAAGCTTCTTAATCCAATTAAACTTCACTGGCCCTGCATACAATTCGCTCCATAAGCGGACCACTATATTCACCCAGCGGTCTTCCGAAATATTTCGAATCTGTTATAAGCTTAACATTACCTAAACCTCGTTCGTTCTTTTTTATCCCTAATCTGAAAAAGACAATTATAAAGGAAACGTGAAAAGTTAAGGAAGGTAATGCAAATTCAAAATAAGACAAAGTATAATTAAGAATGTAAAAGTAAAAAAAACCCGAAAACCTAAATAATTCGGAAGCTATATGACCAATACAACTAGTGTTACATCACTGTAACCCATCCGAAGGTCAGCAAAATCGAAAGTCATAATTTTAAATAAAAAATATCGAATAGAAATTTTAAGCAAAAAGATCGATAAGGAGGATAACCAACCTATTTAGCAGGTGGTCCGCATAATGAGGTACAGCCGGCTGCAACAAAATTCCACAAATCCGCAACACTTCATAACAGATGTATAGCAAAGAAGATACCTGGCCAATAAATTGCAAATTTTGAAAAATCACTAAACCTTGAATTTTAAAAAGATTAGTACTACTAGTAAACACTAAGTTTCGATATCTGGGACTATTGATTTAATAATGGTAACTACCTTTCTATCGTCCAGTTCATTCCACGGTTCATAGAACTGAAAAAAACCATTCGCTTGCCGCATTACTTCCATAAGAAGTTCGAGAGCTTTATAAATCATTAATTCATCAAACTGTTCCTCGTACAGTTCTATAAAGTTCTTATTACATCCCATTTACATTTAGCAAGACCCAAAACATAAGAGAATATACATATTTATTTTTGATAACATAAAAACATAGGTCCATTTTTAATTATTACCAAATGTTGATGCAACATTACACGACAGCAAGTATGATTATGTAATAAGGAAGTAAAAGGAAAAACCAGATCAAAGACAATACCTGCCAACGAGTTGACTGAATGTACCAGCGGCTCACCTAATTCCAGCAAACTATTATGAAACGAATCTGGATAAAATGCAGGATATCTCTGAGAAGGATTAAGCTTTTCGATCGTTGAGCGTTGTAACAAATTTCCAACATTATTTATAAGATCCGTGTTAATGACATTTATAGCTTTCAACATTGTGAAATCTGCAATTTATGAGCACATATAGCTGGAAATTTTTCTTTTCACTGATTTACAGAAGCACTATAAATTGGTAGAAAATTAAAATAGAAGAATCAAAATTTTTATTCAGACCCATCAAAATTGAAAAAAACTGACTTGCATCGTTTTGTGGAGTTCCTTGTCGGAGTAAGAAGTACCTCAATCCCTCCTCAGATAACGATTTAGATGCAATAAATGGATCAACCACATTTCCAACACTTTTTGACATCTGGAGCAGTAGCTTGGAATAAATGAATAACAAAAATGTAAGACTAAATGACAAAAAGCATGGCTGAATATTCTCGATTAGGAAACATAAAAGTAAGGAACCTTCGCTCCATTAACAAGCCAATGACTGTGAACAAATATTCGTTTCGGAAGGGGAAGATCGAGTGCAATTAAAAATGCCGGCCAAATGACTGCATGAAATCTTTTCAATATTTTAATATCCAGAAAAAAAAATTCAATGAATTAATATGCACCAAAAAATTCAACACTAATTCAAAACAAATAATGCTGTGATTTGACCTAACAAAAAAATCTTAGTTATCTCAAAGCGGTATGATAATAGTGACGACTGTTTGGTGTTAAAAGATATCATGAATTCAGTTCGAAAGGTTAATGAGGGCCGTTAAGCATTCCAAAAACATACCCCTGGTCAATGTTTATTGTTCTAGAGATAGTTGTTTTAATTTAAAAATCAAAAAAATCCAACACCAAACAACACAAAGTGATACTATTCCATCTCGGTAACGAACAAACTAAATCAAAAAATGAACCAAAAAGGAGTTAAAGTATTACTTTAGGATATCTTTGCCAAGGATCTGACATGTCGGAGGCCACTTTGACCCTTTTTGGTTAGAAAAAATACCACTCACAGTTAAATAACTGATTAGTGCATCGAACCAAACATATATCTAAAATAAATTATAAACTGCCAATACATACATAAATGCAATCAAGAATGGAAATGTGATAATCAATCTGCTAAATTCGGTATTTTCAAAATGAAACGAACTTATAGTAGAGGTTACATGGAAAGAGAATACTGGGAATGAGAACCAAAGCTACATCGACTATAATGACTGAGCTTTCAATAATTTTAATAAAAACAGTAGCTCAAGTAAACTAAAACTCACCGTCTGACTTTCATCGTTTGGCACCGCAATACCCCAAGTGACTCGCTTTCTGTCTCTTGACATTGAAAGATTTCTTTCTATGCTTGCTTGCTGAAATGCTTCCGGAAAATAAACCTTCGGACGTATGATATCTAAAAGATACAAATAATGGTGAAGAAAATTAAGCGGTAAGTACAATTTCGTCATCGCAATTTATTTGTGAGAATGGTTAAAACAAAAATGTTTTCATACGAGTTATCGGATTTAGAAAAATAACTCTTCAAGTTTGTTAGCAAAGTTTACACTCGTTTGAAAAGTTCTGCCAAATATCAATAAATTACCTAGTCAAACGGACAATATCCATCATTTTTACAAATAGAAATATCTACAACCTACAGAAAAGTTGCGTGAATGGAAACTTAAGAACAGCAAAGCAACACTTTAAAAATAAAAATTATTTCTCAGCTCATGAATGGCCCTTCTTGAACTCACCGCAACTGCTGAGCCAACTTCGCACTTTACCAAGATATTTGGACAAAGGAAATACATAATTTTCTTCCTGCACCCATTCTACAACCGAACCCGTGATTTTACTCACCTGAAATATTTATGTCAAGAACAAGAAATTGATAAAAAAAAGAAAAAAGGTGAACAAAACTCAACCATTATAAAAACAGAATCAAAAAAATAACAAAGAACAATACTGGAGTACTTAATCAAGCCGTCCATTAGAAATAGTTATTTCAGTTCGAGTAGTCACTAGGTTTTTATCTTCAACAATGTAGTGCACGTATCTATTCATTTTAATCTAAAAACAAAACAGAATAAAATCAATCAAACCATGGAATTCTGTTCGCTCAATTTTTCCACTTCATCGCTGGCATAGAAACATTCATCAGTGGTTGAATACCAGCCTTCATGTTTACCTTGTTGTATCTGCCCCCGTTTATCCAATTCTTCCTAAAATCTTCGAGATGAATGCAAGTTTTCCATTGCACTCTCATTTGCAATAAAAGAATAGTTGAAAACCTGTCAAAAAAAATTTTTGAAAAATCGTCACCCAGATATGCTTAACAACTTCTTTATGTCGTGTTTCCGTGGTTCGAATAAAATCATTCGGCTGTATCCCAAAAGCACAAAACAGATCCTTGAATTTATCGCTCATATTGTCGCAATAACTTTGTGGATCACAGCCGGCTGCAGTGGCAGTTTGTTGGATCTGAAAATAGATGAATTATTAAAAGATATTATTGTTGGGTGAAAAGTTCAATAATGTTTAGTGGTAAAAGTACTGGGAACTTGTTCTGAACAGTTCAGAAAGCATGAAACTTTGAAGAGAACGTACCTGATGAAAAATATTTGTAAAAACATTCGAAATGATCGACGGCGAACGTCAGAAAACACATTAATACTATTTTATTCTGACCAACCTAATCGGATTTACTTCAAATTTACCTTCAAACCGTGTTCATCAGTTCCCGTTGTAAATAATGAATCATCCAAATCAGCATTACCATCCCTTAACAGTCGCCAGCGATTCGAAGCATCTGCTAACAGCGCAGTATAAAGATGACCAATATGTGGCGCTGCAAATTCATGACATTAGACATTGATGAAAAAATCCAAATTAACTGGTTCCATTAAATAATTGCTTATTAGAAAACAGAAGTACCAAAATCTAAAGGAAGTAATGAAAACAACTAACGTCCATTAGCGTAAAATATTGGGGTAGTTATAAAGTGCTTCAGCCTCATCGAAATCATTGAAATGCCTTCGATGGCACATAACATTTTGATATTACCAATCATTAGATACAAACACCCAAAAAAATCAAACGGAAGAGCTAAGGATAATTTTAGTTTTAGTTCCAGTGCGCTTCATGAGAGCCATAGATCATCTTAAATCTTATCACCATAGGAGTTTAAGATCACTCAGTAATTTACACCAAAAAACATTAACCCATCTGCTAGCCTTGAAGGCAAGCATGAAAAATACAAAATACAATGAAAGGCGTGATGAAGCGCAAGATAATAAATTCCTGATATACTGAATTTTATTGAAAAATTACATTCATCAATACTAAATATAACGTATTTACAACATATAAAGGAATAACGACGTAGGCTTATGTCAAGATTTCAACTCTACTTTAAATTCCAGCAGTTCATTCTTCTATAATCATACCAAGTAGAAGATGAGCAACAGCTATGAGACAAACTAATTAACAAAAACTGGTATATAAAAAAGTACTGAAAAAATGAATTTGGAAATGTGTAAAAGCGAGAGCTGCAAAATAATTTAAATTTTCTAAGCATTTTAACAGCTTGAATCGAAATTTCTATTATTTGCTTTTTGAATGAAGGGATCGCTGAAAATCTTTTGACTTAGTTGAGGAACGAACGACGCCGTATGATTTAGAATTTGGAACTCGTTATGCGATCAGGTTTACTTCCTTCTAATAACTTTACATCGTCGTAAGTTTCATCATCCAAAAATTCTTGCTGGATTTCCACTAGTGAATGACCTTCATCGATACCACGCTCAATGATGTATTCCTTCATTATCTTATTTTTTAGGTAAATGGCGACTTTATCCGGATCACGCAGCTCTCTGATTTCTAACGGTTTCTTGGCGAATATTAACTGATACTCTTTGTTTGTCATTCCTTTGACATATTCCATCTGCAGTAAAAAGTTGTTTAATTAGTTATTCACGAAATTTTTTGCAAAGAGCTTTGGATTTGAATAAGATGAGTTTGACTTTCGTACTGTTATTTAGTCATGGAAATCTACCTAAACTTTAATAAGTCTGCATTTAATTGAAACTCCATTCCCGGGATTTTTTTTAAAAGGAATTTTTTTCCAGATCTAATAGAACCCTATAAAAGACAACTTTGAAAAATCGAACTTAGGCAGATTTTTTTCAAGCAAACCTTACTCTAACATCCTCAAATCCAGCGGGTTCCAGTTCGAAAATATATCGAGTTGGATCAAACTGCCGCCGCCTTATTAACTTCCCCTTTTCTAGAAATTCAAGCCTAAAAACAGATAACCAATTGCATTTGCATCTTAAGATTATGAATACTAAAAATTCAACTAATGATTTTTATGGCTTTATTCCTCATTGATCCAATTATTAAAAAGGTATTATATTATTAAAAAAACACTACTTTTTTAAATGCATGCCAGAGAGGAAGACACCACCAGGCTTCAGCACTCTAATCATCTCAGCTAGTGCTGCTGGTAAATCAGAAGTCCAAAAGTAAGGTGAATGAACATGAAATATTTTGTCGAAAAATTCATTGTTGAATGGCAAAAGTTTTGCATCGAGTACCTAAGTAAAGTCAGAGATAAATAAATTTTATGAATAGAAAGAGAAAATAAAAATGCTGATATTGGAAAATTACTTTGAGAAAAAATAACTTGCTTCATTAAAAACAATCCGTTTATCTTCCAATGCTTTTTTAGGAAAACGTCCTCGAACCGCTCCAAATAATGAAGTCCATCTGTCCACAGTATACACTGTTCCTTTGCCCTCTCTTACATGCTTATAAGAGCACAGTACACCTGAAATTACCTGACGTGATTGGGAATAACAACAGAATTGGTAGTTATCTCACATCTTCATGAAGAGTTCTTTCCGATTTTAGTGATGCAAATGTAATGATGTCAAATAATGTCATATAATACAGTTTAATGCACTATAATGCTTAATACACTATATAGAAATGTTCCTACTAGCTAAAAAACAAGTGAAAAAAATTCTCCTGTTTTTTTTTATTTCGAAATGAAAATTAACAGGCTAAAAAGTTACTTTAATTATGTAGAAACAAACCATCGCCAAACCCAATTCCAAGCTCTAAGACTTCGTCATCAGGTGATATATTTAACGCTTCAACGACAGCATTCATCAGAAAAGGTGATTTCCAAGCCAATAATCCTGACACGTACATTCCATCAGCTGCATCGTTCGGAGTCGCCAACTATGAAAAAAAAAAAATGTTAAACAAATCACTCACATATTTTAATTCGAAGTGCTCAGATGTTAATATCCCTAATTGCGAAAAAGTGAATTTAAATTAAAATGCTTCATTCTGTGTAACTTCTTTTCACACCCACTACTTTAGCTGGGTTTTAGTAATCTCAATAAGTAAGTTTTTTAACCAAATCGATACTGATATAAACATCACATTACATATCTAGAGGTTGCATCATGTCACGCGCCATCATACGCCAAAGTAATACTGCTGCTACTGTTCATAACTTGACATCTTCATATTAAGGAGGTGTTGATTTGATTCTAAGGTGTTGCAAATAAAGTATCCAAGCAAAATAATAGACAAAAGATAGTTCTAATGTTCAACGCAGGTCATAGGGAAAGAAGTTACACAATGATCAAACATAACGTGAACTATAAATACCTTGTGACGGAGTACTCGAATAATTTTTGCAATGGATGGCATAGTCGTACTAGTTTACTTCATACTTATTTTCGAACTTGCAAAGTTTTTCTCGACACTGAAGTCAATAAAAATGTTGAAAAATGAGTAACGTGTATTAAAATAAAAAACTTGAACTTCACAGTTAATTACATGCATCGGATTCAAAGAATTAAGTCATCATTCTTAAGTGATCTATTTAATTTCATTCTGTGTAATGTGGAGTAGCAGAATTCACTATTCGAATTTAGTGTGTACATTCGGAGCTTCCAGAGTGAAAGTAGGCCAAATAAATTGGTATAAATAAATTCTGCAAAAATATGACTTTATTGATCTTTCGGAAATTTACTGAGATCTAAAAAGGAAAACACAATAGCACATCCTCATATTTTACCTGTATATTTACAAACAAAAAATATGCAATTTCATTATTATAAGGAATATTTGTTTATAATTAGTGAAGATACGAATACTTACATTAATTAAGATGAATGTCTATCGTAGCAAAAATAGAAATGACTCTAACACCTCCCACACCTATCAACACTACGGATAGTAATGTACGTATAATTAATACTAAGAATACTGCTCTCTCATATTTTCCACTCTCTCAATGAGCTGTCTCTCTCAAAAGTCTTATTATTCTTTACGATCTATTTCATCGCAATGCTATTCCCACTTCCTTGACGTTAAAGTTAGGAACAGTTCTACTAATTCCTGGCTATCTTTTTAGCATGCATTCATCACATCATTATCAATCTCTAACCATACTATTATTCATGTTCCATCATATCTTATTGCACTCTTCTATCTCCTCGCTATTTTCTGAATTGAATAGGTCATTGTTGCGAACAATTATTTACGCTTCGTATTGCCATCCTTTAGTCACGAGCTTGATGAGTTACTGCTGGATTGTTTCGGCGTTCGATTATGTGAGTTTTTCAGTGCAGAATTAGCTTTCAAAATGTGTTTTTCAAGCCGTTTATTGTTCCATCTGCCCAGAAATTGTGTGTTGACATGTTTCCGGCATGTTTCTATATTAGGTTATGTTATATTAGTTAGTGAATAGATTGAAAAGTATTGGTTCTTAAAGATTTTTTTCCATCATAATGTTGTTTCCACTTCTTCAACGTTAAGGTTAGGAACAGTTCTACTAATTCCTGACTATCTCTTCAACATACATTCGTCACATCATTATCAATCTTTAAGTACACTTTTTTGAAAAGTTCTTGGAGTTGAACAAAGGAACAGCAGAGTGATGAAGTATGGATAATTGTGCGATTCTTTACCAATCCTTTTCCTATTTGTGTTTTTAAGTGTTAAATGTCATCGTCAGTTCTGCATTTAATTGCAATGAATTCAGCTATATATGCCACAAAACATCATCGACGGATTACTGGATAGTATCGAATATGTTTTTTAGGAAAGCGTTAAATGCGTTACGTCATGGCTGTCAAATCGTAAGTTATATATTGGCACCACTTGGTAAGTTAGCACTAATTAAGTGAATCAGGTGGTGTACTTTCTGCTGCTTATCTTTTCGTTTTTTATCACATTTACGCTGTTTATTTTTGCATAATTATGACTGCGTACTTCGTATTTGTAATTTCCGACATATCTTCTCCATTAGTGTGAAATATTTCGGAATAGATAGCGTTTTTTAGGTGCTTTAATAAGTGGGAAATAGTGGAAGATGCCAATTAGAAAGGTGGAAACTGTTCAGTGAATTACAAAAAAGAAAAAGAAAAATGGATGGGAGCGAAGGAGTTGAGTTAAGTAATAAACCCGAAATCCTGGTTGAGAGCAGGCGAGATTACATTGGTGCTGATGAGGAATCTGAAAAGGATTCAAGGGAAATGGCTAGGAATGATGAAGAGGTTCGTTTTTTTTTCGCTAATTTAAATATGGAGGTAGCAGACGTAGTATTTTCCACTGATTATTATTTGAATTATATCATAGTTGCCGAGAAATAAAAATATAGCTTATTTTTAAATTGTTTTCACAGTTTTCGGCGATATTATTAAGATTTACACATAAGGTTCAGGAGGAAATAGATAGAAATATATGATTCTGATATTTGGTATAGTGCAATGGACAATTTGCACTGAAATTGAAATAGAGCAGTAAGACTTTTAGAATCTTTATTTTATTTGTGAAAATATAAAATGCATCGTAATTTTTAGCTTGACAAATGTGAATCGCCGAAACAAGAAGTGGATGCTCACATTCTTCGGCATGCAATACAAAAGCTTTACAGTGATCCTTCGTTTGCGGTCATTTGTAGTTTCTTCAACAAATTCGCTGTCTTCCTAGGCTTAAAGCCACAGTGTTTCACCAAAATGGAGAACATGTTTACCAGTTTTCACGTTACAGGCAAAGGTTTTTGCTTATATTTTTGCTACACGTAGAGAACCAACTGTGCTTTGACACAAGATTGCAATATTTCATATAATCGACATTTGCATGCATGCTCAGACGATCATATTTGCACTGGCGTAATTAGCACCAGTGTATGTCATCGCGCAAGAGTTACTTACTAAAATATTGTCGAAAAGAAATTCTATATGTTAAAGACGTCTGCGCACGAGCAGTAATATTGTCTGTTTAATTTTATCTCGCTACGTCATGATGTTTTCTAAAAATTATTGGATTTGGCTATTTTCTAATATTTTTAGTTGACCGGGATTTAATCGATTTACACTTAATGTTGATGCGAAAATTAACGTTTAAATCAGCAAGATTGGAAGTGTGGGAGAAATATCTCCTGAAATTCTGCTCTCTTGTTCCATCGTTAGAAACGGAATACCTGCAATTGGAACGATACGGCTATTTGCACACAACTGCAGCCACGAAACTTGCAATTCTAAAGGCTTTATGTGAAAGTCAATTTGATTTCAATGTTAAATTCAAAGAAAGTGTGAGTTATTCATACGGTTTTGGTGCATACAGCGAAATGCATAGAAAAGGGAAGGGGTACGTAAGGATTTTAAATTAAAATAGGGAATAGAAATTCTGTTATAACCTAAAGTGTTTTCTTAACTTTTAATATTTCATGGGTTTAACGTTCCTAGGCAGCAGGTTGTTTTTCAGCTATTAAATTCTTGTGCAGCAAGTGATTTGCGCCTTTTGCCTATCGGCTATGACAAAGAAGGTCTCGCTTATTCGTATCAGCAGGATGCTGATTTAGTTATTCGCATATATTCAGCCGAACAGGATGATCATTCAGGCGGGTCATGGAATCTTGTTGCCAAGTTAGTTTGTTTTATGTCGATTGAAAGCTTATTTCTGCCGTCATCTTTGAATTTGATTTTTGATTTGTGGATATATGAAGAGCGTTATCAAAAACACTAGCACTTTTCAAGCGTTATGAACTGAAAATCTTGTGAACTCGAAACTTGGCAGATATAACTTCTTGAATGCTGTCATCTTTATGGAACCACTTTATTTAATCGCTTTTCTGAATTTGGCGGCCAGCACACAGTTTTTTCATTTTCGGTCGAGAGACACTTTTTTTTCCCATTGCTTAAACAGTTTATACTTCACTTTAAATTGTGCAGGACGGCGTATCGATCATATTTTGTGGTAGAGATATTATATTTACTTAAGTTTTAATTTGAAATTTTTCGAATTTTAAACGAATATACCGTGAGGTTTTTAAGGTGTAAAGAAGAACTTGAAAATTTGGTTATGGAATTAAAAAATAGACTTGCTTCAAAATATTTATCCAATCTGCTAAAACAGCATGAAGGTTTGCCATTTTTCACTGTTTAAAGTTTTACAGAGCTGTATACCCTAAATTTATTGTACTATGTCAGTGGTATTTTGATTGGGGGCTGAATGTCGTCTTAGATTTTTGTCGGACAGTGGAAAAGATACGGGTTCTTGGCGTTTGGAGTTTAGACAATAGTTTTTCTTAATCAATTTTTCAATGTAAACTTTATTTCGAGCGTGAATTTTTTTTAGATTCATTAGCTCTGGTTCAAGGTGAGACGGACGAGCAAACTAATGTTCTATCTACATTTACAACAAAAAGAGGTGCTTTACTAGACACTTATCAGGACGAATCCGCAATCAAGGTACGCGAAGTATCTGTTTCAGCTCTTCTCTGGTATTCCGCATATGACATTAATTTACATTATTTGTTATTAATAACAGAGAAAACTGGTGAAACCGAGTCAAATGAGGAAGAAAGCAGATGTTGAAGAAGCGTCGAAAAAAGAAAATAGTGCACCTCCAGTAGAAATTACGGAAGATATTCCCGATGAAGTAAAACCATTCGTAAGTTCACTTTATATGTTTTATTTTAAAAGACCTATTATTTTGATTTGTTAAAGGTGTAGTTAAACATTATATACTTCTATGAATACCTGTTTTTAAATTCAAAAAATTTACATTTTCAGCTAGATCGTCGAATATTACCGCGCAGAAGTGCTCGCAGTGCTGCAATAAATCAGTTGAAGGAGTTAACTGCTCCGCTGAAACCTCAGTGCGGGAAAAGGAAAAATCAGCAGAATAAGAAGCAAGTGGAAGTAGAAAATGCAAAACAGCTGAAAATCCTTGATAAAAATGTAATTAATTTAATTGAGAAAATGTGTGTTCTTTTTTTCTTCTAGAATCTATTATCTAGAAATGATTGAACTAACATTTCAGGATGATCAGGGTGATAGCGAAGATAATGACGAAAATGAAAAGGATGATAATGACGTTGATGATTTCATATTAGCAGAAACCTCGACCTCTTCCGATGACGACTTCATGCCGCTTTCCGAACTGAAAAAGAAGAATCAAAAGTAATTTTATTTGGACTCTTTTGGACTCATATGCTTGGATGTATTCTTTCGATTTATTAATCCTTGCAATGATCATATGGTAACAATGGAACTGCAATCAGCTTACAGCTCAAGACGTCGTCGGGGCAGAAAAGCAATTGTGGAAAAAGATCCTTTTGAAATGATAGAATCGGAAGAAGATGAGGAGAGTGATGACAGTCAAGAAAAAAAAGCCAAGAAAGAGCGAAAAAAAGCTACAGAAGAAACACTTTGCATGAAATGTAGTAAAAGCTCAAATCCAGAAGTGGTAATGCTTTTGACCTGGTTTTTATTTTTAAGTCATAATGTGAAAGTGAATTTAGGCTTTTAAGGATTATGATTTATGAAGTCTTTTATAAATCTATTATATTATTCAACGTGGGATTTTCATCCAACCGTGGACGACAGTCTGTTGATAGCTAGCAGAACACAACAGAAAACGTTTTGGAAATATTCAATTAACTAAGTGAATACCACCGATGTATTATTTAAGGAATTAAAGAAAGGATTCGCTGCTTGCATCTTAAGTTCCTTTTAAGTGACTCACTGAAAATTTGCTACCCCTTGCCGCAAGGCAAAGTAATGTTCTAATACCTGGTATCTTAAACATCTTATTTCTAGTTGCTGTTATGTGATTTATGCGATGAAGCTTGGCATACTTGGTGCTTACATCCAATATTATGGTACGTGCCAGATGATGATTGGTTCTGTCCAAATTGTCAGCAAGCGATGCTGATTGAAAAGTTTTCTAAAGTGCTGACTGTACTTGCTGAGCAAGTGAAGCGCAAAGCTGCTGAAGACAAGAAGTAATTTTTTATTTTTTTGAAAATCCCTTAGATAGGAAAAGACGGAATAACATCATACAAAAAACCTGTTTATTAGCTAACAGTCCTGTTATTATCGTTTCAAATTAGGAAAGAAGCAGCTGCAGAGAGATTGAAGCGCGAGATGGAGTATATTGGCGCATCTTTAAATAACATCATTCATACGGTACGTTTTTATTTTTTCCAACTTTTTTTTCAATATATAACTCCTTTCGATTTATAAACTAAAGGTGTTCTTTAAATTTGGAAACTCTATATGAAGTTTTATTGGTTGGGTCTCTAATTAGGACAGCTTGGGACTTGAAAGCTTGAAATTTTGCCAATATGAGACACGCACACAATACGATATAAGTGATGGCATCTATGAGATCTCAAGTGATGAAATTGGTGAGGTCTTGAAGCGCAATGATTATCCTGATACACGGGTTGTTATTGTAAATGTACATATTTAACTTCCAGGTAAGAGATACTAAAGTGGAAAGTTCTGAATCATCAGAAGAATCGGGTGAAGATGACGGTGAAAGGAAATCAAAAAAAAAGCAATCCGGTAAATTTACTTATCAGTTCTTTGAAACATGCTGTTGTTCTCATAGCTAATATTCATTCTTTAGGCGTCTTGGTGTCCATCCACAGAAGCCGATTATTCCAATAGCACTTTCACGATCAAGACGTCACGTAGCTAAAGTTGACTATAAATTTGGCGCATACGATGAGTTAATCCAGGTATTCGAGTAGATCTTTTGCTTCACATCATGTTTGATTTCTGTGCTAATCGTGTGACTTGTCAAAGAGAACATTTCGAAGCACTGGTTGTAAATAGAAGAAAAAATATTTGTTTTATAGGAGGCCGTGAAGAATATAGATGAATCGGCAGCAAGGCAGATGAGTCCAGGCATGCTTTTATTTTTTTTTTTTATTAAAGAAAATGAAGCGCAAACTTTATCTGACAGCTCGAGAATGTTTGCGTAGATGTTGCAGGCAGTGTACGACTGAAAGGTGGAGCTGGACGCGGTAAAGATATGTCAAACATCATAAACGCTGAAAATAAACAGATCCCAACAGGTGTGGAGGATAGTTACCAGAATGATGGCCTCGAAAGGTTCGATTTTGAACTGAGTAAAAAGATTAAAAAGGAGTGCTAGGCAATGGGTATTGGGTTAAAGCTGCATAGTTCGATAGTGATGTTAATTGAAAACACCTTGTGGTGTTGTGCCTTTGTGGTGTGGTGCCATGTGGTGACTTGATGATAAGCCTCTGTTTATTAATATAGCACTTATTAATGGATTTTGTAGTATGATATATCTTACATGAAAATGAAAACAGGAAATTTGCTTTTACATTGCACAAATTTTGTTGAAGCCATATAAGAATACAATCAAAAATTGGGAAACCGGTTAAAAGTCGTCATCGATTGAATGATCTAAATGTGGATGAAATGACTGAATCCGATACTGATGAATATCAAGGAAGCGAGTAAGAATTTTTATGCGAAGCTACTGTTTGATATTGTATATGTTTAGACTTACGGAGTAATATGGGACTTTTTTTTTTGTATTACATTTTTACTATAGCATTGTTTTTGTTTGATATATTTCGATTCCATTTTTGCTTTTTATGCTGAATCAGTTTCTGGTTCATCAATGCATGCTCACTGCAATTTTTGGTTAAATGTTGGGGGTAAGCAGGAGCATAGTAGAACGGAATACGGCTGTAAAAGCCTACTTCATATTAATAAATTCGCAAACCAGCATACTCAGAAAATGTTAGATTTTTCTTGTAACTCATCCAACACAGTTTCATTAAAATGCTATCATCCACTAAACACCCGTAGAAGTACATTTGGAGTAATAAACGAAATATAGTTTACTTGTAATGTATTTAATTTATGGATGACAAAATGAACGGTGCTTTAAATAACCCCATTGTGCTACATTAATCATTAGGGTTTTGTTCCTTAGAAATGATGATTAGATCTAATGGTTAAATATGAGTAACATTATCTATCAGTATTAAAGATTTTGTAGACAAGCAAAAGTTTGGTATTAATGAATAAAAATTTGTTAATTTGTTATATGATGCAAAATTTTTTTTATTCTCTTAACAATAATTTCCTTTCAGCACTGCTTCTGTTTCGGATCCATCAGATGACACCGATGAATACTTGCCTTCGGATGCTTCGTGTAGAAGAAGGTATCATTTCTATCTCAGTTTGACCGTTACTAAAATGCTGTTCAGATTTCTGCTTACATTTAATATCATCAGAAGGTATCTTCATGAACTACTAAAATTTAATATTTTGGAACTGCAATTTCCAGAACAACCAAGCGGAATTATTCTAATAAACGAACTCAAAGTGATGATGATTTTGTCGTTTCTGGCTCCGAAAGTGAATATGAACCAGTAAGAAAGAAATCTCATAAGTCAAAAAATACAAGAAAGATAAAAGGGAAGAGGAAACGTGAAAAATGGTTGGTTTCTCTATGATTTATTGTGTGGAAACCAATCCATCTTTTGATTCTAAATATGTAGTCGATATGCTTGATACCGACTTCTACCATCTGCTGTGTTAGTCTTGGGATTTATATCTTTTGCAGTAAAATGTCTTGTTTTGAAACTTCAAATGTAGTCTTTATCTATTATCTATTCCAGTTGGTTATCTGGTAATTTACAGTTTGATAGCTAGACTTATTATTTTGAATTGTTGCAGTGGAATGGTTTTGTCTGTACGGCTGTTCAAGGTGGTAGGTGATGCTTATCATCATTACTTTGCTTTCATAACGCACACATCTCATTTATTGTTTTGTAGGACAACCTCTGATGACGAAGATTCCACTTCCGAGGTGAGCGATAATTACCAAAGTGAAGAAAGTAGTAGTAGCAGTGTAGACAGGCGCGCAAAACGACGTACTACAACCAAGTGGGCACCACGCGCAAGCAGTTCAGATGCGGAAGATTCAGGTCATTCAGTACAGAAGACTGCTACTGGAAGGTAATATCATTTTTTTCTGAAATACAATGCCAAATAATTGCTGGTACGTAAATTGATTATATTTAGAAAAATATTTTGCTCGATATGTTCATCCAATTAAGTTATGGAATATTTAGGCCGTTAAGGAAGGCAGTAGCGAAAAGACCGAGCCTGACAATGGATGATGGTGAGGATGAGGAAGAAGAGGATGAAGAGATGGAAGAGAGACTTAAAGTTATTCGTCCGGTAGCTTCAGGGCGAAAAACTGAGAGGTAGAAGTAGAGAAAATGCTTTATCGTCACTGTCGTTGAATTTAACACAACAGTTTGGTGTTTGTCAGAGAGTACCTTGGTGAGGTGCTCCGCATGGCAGGATAGTTTCTGCGTATATATCTTTTTCGGAATACTCATTCCACTGAATGAGGCGATAGTTCCGGCGGTTTTACTCACAGAGCTTGGTTAAATAAATTGATTTTTGTATTTATAATTCACTTGCAGACTGCATTTCTTTTTTGCTGGTGAAGTAAAATCTTTAATTGGTGATATTGCAGTTCTGACGAATTTGAACCAGATGACGAGGAAGAAGAAGAAGAGGAGGAAGCGGAGGACGAAGAAACTGCTGACGAGAAAGAGATGGAGAATAAGGAGAAAACAACGGCAGTTGACGATGAGAAGCAGAGGCAAAATGATGAGGAGGAAAATGTGGAAGGAAAACGAAAAAAGTCTGTGAAGGTTGAGAATGGTAAGAAGTGTTGCATTAGATAATCGTCTTTTAAAATTTTTAAATTTGTCTTAATTCTCGAAAAAAGATTTCTATTGCTTAGTCAGATCGAGCATGTTTCTTGAGCTCAGTTTATGTTTAGGTATCGAAGTTATGAAAGAAGCCACTTCTAGTGCGACTAAGGCTTTATCCGTCGGCTGTCATAAGAAGCAGACAGAAGATACAGATACGAATGATATCTGTCCGTCGACTTCGAACGATGTAAACGTTATGGCTGAAGATAGATACCGTTGCCAGGTTTATGCCGTAGAATTATGCATATAAGTTTCTTATCCATGAATAGCCTAACCACTGAATGATCGGTAATAAGTAGATATGACTTTTGGAGCCGCCTTCTCGGAGAGATGAACCTATTTGATGTGCAATCGCTCCACACTATTAGATATATTGTACTGAATTTAGCATTTCTTAATATGCTTGTTAATAATTTCTTATTATATGAACGGTGTGTTGCAGCTTACCAGTGAAACAGCTCGAAAGGTAAAGTCGGAGCAAATGGAACAGGAGGTATATATATATATATATTACGTTTTTTCATTTTTTTGAATTTTCGAATTTTCTCTCCTTTTACTGAAAATGTGTTTCAAGAATTTTCAAAAAAATGATTTAGGTATTTTATGCTGCAAGCACAAAAACAGAGGATTTAAAGGAAGTAGAGGTGAAAACGGCAGAAAAAACTACAAATATAGCAGTTACAAGCTCGAATGTGACTTCATTTGTTCCACCTTCATGGTACGTGTCAGTTCTGTTAATTTCTTTCCTACTATACTAGTAGAGTTTGGTATTAATCATTAAAACTGCTGACGAACATATTTTCTGTTTTTTATTTTTAGCTTATGAGTCAGAAACTGGTTAGATATGGCGGAAAATAGGGCAGAGGATTGGATGGGTTGTTTGAGTACAGCAGTATTTTTTATTTAAATATTTGGTAGCATTTTCTTTTTTTTTTTTGTAATGCATTGAAATGTAAAGTATCTAAGAAATAGCTTTCTAATATTTTTATAAAGTTCTAAATTTCGCTAATAATTGTCTTCCTATTAAAGTTAAAATGTAATTATGATTTTGAGAACTTTTCATACTTGAATGACCGTTATTTTCCAAGTCACGTAGGATTTTATTGTGCGCAGGCATAATTACTTACAGCTTTCCATCAACCTCAGCAGATCTCTCATCACTAAATCCATCATCGCTAATGCAGCAGATGGCTCGACTTGCATCGTCGTCAGCTACACCAGTGCAGCAGTTTGATCCGTCAAGTGCTGCGTACCGAGAAATGTTGCAAACTGCAGCCCCTACGTTCATCTCTAATGGGGCTCCACTGCACATCTATTCGGGTATGCATATTTTCAGAATTCGGGAATTTGATTAACTAGAGTTCATTTATTTTTTGTTTTCTCAATTTCGTTTACATTTGAATGCAGACACTTGTTTACATATTGCTCAGTGGACCATCGGGTGATTAAACACCAGTCGTTTTTCAGCGATGGCGTAACTACATGCTAAATAGGCTATCCCAAGAGGCTAGCAATATTAGCCGTAAAATTATTTTTCTTAGCGCACTCGATCTTTAAATTTGGTATTACTTTTGCTTAAGACATTTTCGTGCTATACAGTTTATTCAAATATGAAGTCGTGTAATTCATATTTATTGCTTGAACATATGACTGAAAAAGCGATATTTACGAGTCTTGGCTGTTCTTGAATTTCTGTCGTCTGTTCCCAATTTTTTTAAAAGACTTTTTCAGGTCCGGCTCCAGTTACAGTCTATCAAGTGCAACAGCCACCATTAGTGAGGCCTCCTACAGGCATGGTTCAACCCAGCATTGGTCCATTGTCGCAAGGATGGCCACCCTATCCACCTCCAAATCCTTTTCCCACCAAGTTGGTTTTTCTTCTACTTTTCACATTTCTTCAAGTTCTATTCACCATGCGAAGATTCATTCCATTTGATAAATTCCAGTGCAGCAGCGCCACCAATGGTCACTGCCACGACAATTCCTTCACCAACGACAGATTCTGAGACACTTGGAAACGTTCTTGCTTCCGCAATGGATTACTGATTTATTTTACAAAGCATTTCCATTTACAGAGATTGAATCAGTCCCGCGGCTTTACATATTTCTTTAACATTTCATGTTTTCACTAATTTTTAAAAATTTTTCCACAATATGTTTATAATTTTGTTCGTAGCGTGTGGAGTCTGGTTATTTCGCAAAAAAGCCAGAAATATGTCCTTGACTTCCCGGAAAAGCTGAGCAAATGAGCTGTGGTAAATTAATCCCAGAAAATAAGAATCCACAAGTCCAATGTTGCTTTTGATTCTTGTGACATGTTGTACATTGTTTGCACTGTCTTTTCCAGAAGAATTAGGACCCTAGTGGTCGGAACAAAAATAAATTTCCAGTTTGGTTTTATTTTGTGGCGATATGCTTTAAAATTCAAAGGTCTTGTTCATTTCTTGATCACAATATTAGTTTATTGCTTCGCGGTGATTAAAGGTGCATGGTTGACTATCACGAGTTCATTTGTACCACGGGTACAAATCCTGTTCTGTAATTTTAGAGCTTAGGTTATTGAACAAGGAAAATTCCAAGAATGAGGTGGTATTTTGTTCATCTCTTCTGTCCTCGAATTACTTTTCTATTTTATTTTGAAGAATTTGAAACAAAAAACCTAATATTCATATAAACATGAAGCTAAAAATTGAAGACACTTTTTTGCGTTTTCGTTTTATTTTGAACTTTAATGATGATGACGCGTAGATTAGCACTGAATCTCAAAAAGAATAAAGCTTTTCTCAAGTTATTTCGAAGAACTTATAATCACCGCAACCTTACACACTTCCATTCTTTTCATTATAAATTTCGCTGAAATCCTTCGAGATATATCTGTTTTAATTTTATCGGTTAATACAATCTCATTGTAATATTGTCTTCTGTAATTTACTTTTCGCTTAATTTTTTATTTTTCACTTTTTTTTTTTTTTTTTTTTTATTAACCGTGGATCAAGCTAAGCAATACTGTATTTACGTCGTCCATTGATCATCTTGAAAGCAAGTTCTTTGGGATTTTTACTTTCTGGATTTTTCTAATTCACTATGGTTTGTTTATTTTGTAAAGCATCATATCACTTTTTAATGAATTTGCTTTTTGTCGTATTTCCCAAGTCTCCAAGTCTGCAATCATGATATTCTAGTTTATTACCCTACTAATATATTGTAACTAGCAGTAAAACTATGTGGCCACGTTTTAGAAATCATTTTACCTGTTTTACTCTTATTTTACGGACAGTACTACTTTCAATCTAAAAGAATTCATGTCAGAGCAACTATTTTTCTTTTAATTGAAAAATTAGCATTGTTTATATGTATGTTAATGAGAGAGAGCATCAATTTAGAGAATGGTGATACTAATTTGGCACTGAGTTCAATAGTATGAATTTTTTTTCTAAAATCGTAGCTATGTTGATGCATCTGCATTCTATGTTTTACTTTTATTTCATTTTGCTCTGTTCTAGCATTGAATTTTTCATTGTTTCTGATACTCATATCTGAAATTCATATTTCATTTAAAATCCTCTCTATAGTTCTCTTTTTGCATTATCAAGATTTCAAGGACTGTGTTGTTTATCAGTAATTGTAGAACTCATCAATTGTTTCTTATGTATATAAAAGTCTTATTTTGATATGTTGAGCAAATCTTTTATCAATTTTTCCAGTGTTTTCATTTTCTCATTTTGTAACTGTCAGTTAAAAGAAATAAACTTCCTTTGTTATAATGCAAAGTATGAATTCCATTTTAAATATTTGAAAATTTCAATGGATCTTTTGGAGCAAGCGAAATGATAACATATCATTTTCGTGTACAAAAAAAAAAAACTATAATTTCGGGCGTTTGTGGATTTGAGTGTTCTACTGTTCCCAGAGTGACCTTCCCGACAGGGAAATGGCTTACCGACGGTACATTTGGAGTGTCATATTTTAAATCTTCCATTTTAGCATATTTGGGTCTCAAACAACTTCGATTTGCAAGAATAATTCCACTGGTTTGAAAAGGAAAAGAGCGGAATATTAGGCAGAATAACTACATGAATTTCATTTCCACTCTGAATGAATTAACTGTTGCACTTAATCGTCATCGCCGTGGCTAAGCTTAGCGAACGAGGATATGTGATATACCCACGCTTGGTACAGGGACGCTGATAACTAATAAGGCCAATGAGGGACAGATAAGTTCGAATGCAAATGACACAACGAAAGGTCTTCTTAGTATTGATAAAATACGGTTTTTTCTGCATTGTCGTTTGTCCTCAAAGTTGGTTTTGCGTGTGTTCTCGAAGGAAGCAGCAGCATCATGGATGATATGTCTCCATGTCTCCCGATTCGAAGACAATGAACCATTGATGGGGAGGTATTTGGCCAAGGTTAAGATATTTTTTAAGGGCGTCCTTGTATCTCCTCTTGGGATTCTTCTTTTGAGGAACCCGATAGTCAAATCACTATAAAAAAAATCTTAGAAAGGCGGTGATCCTTTATCCTGGAGGAGGAGACGTGTCCAGTCCAGCGAGACGTGTCTTCAGTAGTATGGCTTCAATACTGGCGAGCCCTGCCTGTGTAAAAACAATAACATTAGATATGTTGTCAAACTAGTGGATGTTTAGGATTGTATGGAAGCAACGCT